GGCTGTGAGGAATCTGGTTGATATGGTTTTCTGGGGTTACGGTTGATGACTGGGCTATAAAGCAATGACTGTAAATGTAACTGGTTTTTGACTGCGACTGAGTGAAGGTGCAGAAATAGTAGACTGTGCCCTTAGTGATGGTAATACGCTACTGAGATCACTACAAGGAGGTCTGCAAGATAACACTAACACATTGTGTTATAAGATGCACTTAAATGATGTCTACATTTGTCCTCTTTCACGCTCCAGTAATGTACAAACTGTAAAGACTGAAGCTTTATATGGAAAAATAATATATTGAAAAATGTGTCTCAACTGCTTATTTATCATCTCTGATAAAAAGGAAAAAGAGACATGAAGCGCAAACAAGTTGGACGTAAAAACACTGAAATTGCTTGAATTTCGGCAGCTTTTTGGGTTCGCACCAAATAACGAGAGAGAGCCAACTAATCTTGGAAGCTGTGTGTATGTTCTGTGGCAGCTTGAGATGGAATTATTAAAATTGTATTCCCATCTCAGAATCAATCCCCTATTAAGTACTGCGAGGTTGTGTTCGTCTGATAAGCCCCGGAAACCTACATACATACATCATCAATAAGCATAAATACTAAACATGTGGTGGGAAACACACTGATGCAATTGTGGTTTCATGTCAGAGAATATTCTATTTAGGTCCGGTTTTATATATATATATATATAAATAAATAATAAAGTAGGTGTTTTTTTGCCACTGTATATTTATGGAGGGTTTTGAAGGATAAATATTGTATGCTGCAGTTTATTCTTGTCCATCATGTGATTACACAAACGATGGAGATTTACTCCGATTCTACTGGCATGTCAGTGAGGGATAAGACGCTGTAAACGGGAACATGTGCGGTATGCATGGTATGAGTCTTAGTCTGCAGAAACAAGCAGTGTCCCTGGGACATGCACGTTCACATTAAATGAAAATATAAAATGCTAACATTACTGAAAGTCCATTCCAGCAGCTGTTTAGTGATTAAAGCAAGAACAATATGTTCAACATGTTTGTTATCGTCGTCCTTGATTCTGTTTTATTTTCATACTTTATGTGTAGTCTGGGGTTTGGTTTTTTTGCCTACGAGCTCAAACCATTCCCCTGTTATAGTGAAGGCAGCTGCAAATGGCAGACGTGGAAAACAATTAGTGTCAAACGTTTTCTTCCTGTAGTAGTGAGGGACTCCCCGAGGAGGGGATGCTTCTTACAGGAAGAGGCAAAAACACAGAAATCACAACCAAGCTGGGGCTGGCAGATAATTCACCACTGTGATTTAACATTGATCAGGTAAATACGATTGGGTATTTGTTTAAAACTCTGTTGTCCAAATGCAGGATTTGAAGAAGGCTGACAATTAAAACTAACAAATTGAGTTATTCAGAGAGCTGGAGAGACACAGCCGTCCCTAATCTGACGTGAGAAAGGTGTGTGGTGAGGGGATTTCCGAAGCTATTCGAAACTGGCAGCTTAATATGTCACTGAAATTTAGATTAGATCTAAAAAGCTCAAGATACAACGTTTGCGCAAGATGTCGAGGAGATCAAAAATATTTGAACAAGTGCTTCAGTACTGTCTGTTAATAAAAGAAACAGCTCTGCTTATCTGCCTCACAAGAGCACAGACAGGTGAGCTAACAGGCTGACTTTGTAGTGAACTTCTTGATGTAATTTACTCGCCTTCTTAAAATAAGTCAGTCTCTCTTCTCTTCCAGAGCCTTTAAAAGCCCTGGCACTACTTAAAAAGGAATGAGCTGTAACAGCAACAGTCAGCCGGGCACACAGAGAGAGAGAGAAAATATAAGAGTGAAGCTAGCTCTCATGAGATCCACTACCAGAGCTGGACATCAGCAGCAATACAGAGCGGTATCTCTTTCCTTTCTCTTTCTCAGTGACACCGCCAATGAGATTTTCCATGAGAGCTGCTCCATTTATCAAGGCCAGTGGCACATTGAGGCAGCTAACGAATGCCTTGCTCCTCTAGATTTGTATAATTAGAGTTGGGAGAGTGAGACGCGCTCAGAGGTGGTTAGCTCTCGTACGAACGGAAGTGGAGATGATTCATTCGGCATCCGAGAGCCAAAGCTTTGGGGAGCTTTAACTTAGGACGCAGACAATGCAGCCTGGCTATTACCCCTCCAACCATGGAGAACAAGACAGCGAGTGAGACACATACTGATTAGCGCTCGGGTTACACCGGACGTGGGACAGCTAGTTCCTTTAAATCAGCAGGCGAGATGTAATGAGGCTGACGAACTCCCAAATATACACCTCGATTCAACATGCAGAGCATTAACACAGCAGCAAACGACTAGCTGCTATGTAAAGATATAGTGGAGACTAGTGTCTCCCTGAGCAGAGAATGGAGTCGCTCTACCTCTGCGTGTTGTAATACAAGCTACTATGTGCTTTGTTTACAAAGCCGGGCCGCCGCCATGTTGAGAGCCTTGTGGAGTCAACGGATATGCTCACAGCTTCGTGGTCAGCACCTTTAAATAATGCTGCGTTGCATTATATAATGTAGCTATTCATAATATACACAATATCTACAGCTATTCAACTTAAAGGACAGGTGTAGGATCCACATTACCTGACACGTTGCAATGTGCAGATTACATCTACGACTACATATATAGCTAAATTGTGAGTCAGGTCAGTCGTCGTTTTTCTCCCGTTTTCACCCCCAATCCAGTATAAACTTTACAGTTGCTAAATAAAAAAAGATCTAGCTTGTGGACACTAGTTGCTGTGGCTAGAGTGTCATGTGAAATGCTCCTTTTTGGCATGGAGATTATGGATGTCTCGGTGGGGTCGGTGCCGTTTTGTCCGTCCACATGGCTGCGAATTCTTCTGACATTGCAGCAGCGTTTGCCGTTACTGTTGCCTGAGGGAACATCTATTATTGAGCTAGCGCTGTTTCAGGTCGGAGGGCATGTGAAATACAGCATGTGTGATAGCTAATTGTAATCTAAATGTCAAACGTTAGTCAACACTTGTCACTCATACCGAGGGACCGGTCAAATCTCACAAGCATTGCTTTTTTTTTCATGTAGCGGCACTTTTTCCGCTTATACATTCATAACAAAAGAAATGGCTGGAAAACAACGAATACAGAAACTCTGATATTACTCTTTGCATTATCATCATTGAGCCATTGGACCAAATACATTTAAATAGTCACAAAGAGTCATATCAGTATATTAGAGTTAAAGCTTTTACTACAGCCAGGATGATCTCTATTCATCACAGCTCAGTTTTCTCACAACGTCTAATTTTTCCTTAATTTTGGCTTTCACCAGTTGCAAGATTATAAGGCTGTGGTTGTCTTTTAAATGTGCATCACAGCCTTATTGGTGTCACTAGGTTTGGATCCATCCCACACACATCCTCCCTCTTCCTTATGTGATTAAACATTCCAGCTTCTCCATGTTGAGTTTAACATGACAAACTCACTGGCTTACAAAGCCCAAATGACACAGAGTAAATATATATAAGTTTTTGTTTTTTTGAAAAATGCATTTTTTAAACCGGGGTTGCCAACCTTAAAGCTGCTCATGAAGCCAAAGTGGCTGTTAGCAGCAATATCATCACATCCTTTTCATCACGTTTTCAAGGATACCTTTCATCGGATAGCTATTTGAAAAGCAGTTACGACCCCCGTCCTTTATTCGGTGTTGAAAACCCGATTCATGCGGTTCTCCCTCTAAAGCCCTTTCATTCTAAATGCATTACGATTACAAAGACTTTCCTGAATTTCCCTTTCATAGCAGTCAGCCCAAGGAGACTCTGCAGCTTGCGTTCATGACTGGGTGTCCTGGATTCAAGGACTCGAAACAGGCTCCCTCGCAGCCCATCCCCCCACGCCACTTTCAGAGCAGCAGGAAGAACGACGAAGGCATGCTTTGCACCTCCCCCACACACACACACACTCTCACACACACACACACACACACACACAGCGCTCCACCAGGCATTGCTGGGGCTTGTGGGATTACGAATGGAACACGATGACAGACAAAAACAGTCCTCAGCGCCTCCCCGCACCGCCGTCTTTTATTCTCTCGGAGCATGAAAAGGCCGCTATGAGGCACACAATAGACGCGGCGATGGATCAACTCTATGAGTGAACAAGATAAGTGTGGGTGAAGAGCTACACGGATCTTCATAGTGTTCTTGTGAGATTATGTCAGGGCAGAAATTGTGTGAAGAAAAATAAAAGTGGAACGAGATGAGACATTTACTTCACTTTCGCAGGCGTGATGTGACGTATACGGCTGACGTGTCGTATTCCTGTCTGACATTAGTTTTACTGGCTCGTGTTAGAGTACATTACAAGCTGGGATTCATATTTAACAGGAGACATTTCTAAAACATGAAGGCACTTCCTTTTAATCAAACCTCTGCTGTCAAGAAGGGGAATAAAAACATTTCCTGTAGCTGGTCTGAGCATCATATTCGTTAAGGGGTGGCAACAAAAGAGAAAGCAGCAGTAGGTCGTATTTTATGCATCACATGTCAGACGGCTTCAGGGAACAGAGAGCTTCGCCAAGCCTGCTGTAAACGACAGGCTATCACGAAGCACAACGTCAAGAACCCTCAAGCATTCAGTCCTGTTTTATTCATTCATAGCGCGATAATTAAACCGATGAAAGACAGTACTGTTCAAACGATACACAGACAAATGCAATTCCACAGACATTATTGCCGGCTTCTGGAAGATAAAAGACAAGCGAGTTGTTGCAAACACATTTCAATAACTAAGTTTAGGGCACAATAGAACTTTTACAGCAACCTCCAAACTATGGTAGCAGGCTAGCTAGCATGGCGTCATCTAGAGCTTGACTTTTGAAACCACAAGAATGTTTGTATGCAGGTTCCTTTGATATAGGAGATTGATAACTGGAGCAATTTTCTTTCTTGATACGCCAACACGGTGCCAAACATCCATGCAGCATCAGAAGACAGTAAGAATAAAGGCTTACCTTTTCATTTTTCACCTTCTTTAGCGTCTTGCATTCACCGTTACCGTTTTCCACCTCCTCTGGTTCAGTTTTTGTCGTCAGCGCTGGTACTATCCCTATCGGTTCAAGTGCAATATTCCCCATTTGATTGGCTTCCACCAAGTCTGTGGATTGTGTGTTCTCAAAGGACGCATTGCGACTATTCCCCAAAGCGACCTGGGCTTGAGACACGACGTCCGTCTCGGCAGCCGCTATCGCCACGACCACGACCGGGGCTCCGTCTGTTTTGTCCTTCTTGCTTTTCCCGCCGGCCCCTTCTTTCTCCTTTTTACCACTCAGCACATTTCTGGAGGCCTTGCCCCCTTTTTCCACGCTCTTCCCAGAGATGGTATTGTTGCCGGCAGCTGCCGCACTCGCCGCCGTGCCCGTCGGCTCCCCTTGAGTCCGCCCTGCCGTTTCCTTTTTGCCGCCGTCCCCGGCTGAAGCTTTGCTACTATTGTCTTTAGAGTTCTTACTGCGCTTGTATTTGGATTTGCTCTCCTTGCCTTGAGCTCCGGACACTGGACTAACAAACCGGATGTTGTCGGGCAACGCCGCCACTGCATTGGGTGGTGCCGCCATGCCGTCTTTGGTGCCAGACATCTCGAGTTTGTCCTTCTCTAAATCAGCGTCGAGGTCAATAATCAGATTTCCAACACCGATATCCCACTCATCCCCGCTATCGTAAGTGTCCACCGCATTAGAGTCCACACCTTTCCCGCCTGCAGTGCCACCACTTAGGGACATTTTAGTGCCAACGGCCCAGGATTGCCTCAGTGAGGTCCGACACCCTCTCAGACGGTTGGGACACGGGGGCTATGGTTGGAGAATCCTCACGGTCTACTCGTTCCTGTTCCATTTAACCACATGTTGCCCTAGAAAGCAGAGAGAAAAGGATTTGAATTAGTCTGATAATACATAGAAATAACAGTACGACTGCTCTAAAATCACTTGATCGTCTTTGATGTGACGGCACAATCCACGATGGCGATACCCACTGGTGTGACACCCACTGGTGTGACAGCACTGCTCCCGAAAAACCCTCTCCTCATAATCACTCCCCACAGTCGCCATGGCAACCGTGGGAAATGTAGCTCGAATCCTGCTTTGACAGCCGAGGTGGCCCCACGGTTCTGAGTGACTGGCTCTCTGTTCACAGGGCACCGCTGATAGTGTCACCGCTGATAAATAAGGAGTAGCCGGCCTCACACATGGTTTATGGAGCCGTGCCTTTTCAGCCCGAGCACACAATGCTAATCTTGCGTTAGCAGAGGACCTTAAAAACATGAATGAACCAGTGTGTGGCTCAGGAGAACATCGGTTTGTTGTATTTGCTTCCATAATACAGCCAAAATGTCACCGTGTTCCATGTGATTCAGCAAATTGCTTCCAGGTCAGATCACAATTTTGATCAACATGGATCTAAAAATGTTATATCCATGGATTTGTTCTCAGATTGGGGTTCAGGGTTTAGAAGACTGTAGGTCCTTTTTGTTTTTATCTTAATATTTACAAACTGTTCTTTGTATAATACGACAGCGATTGACTAAAAAGGGTTGAACAGGAAGAATGTGAGCATCAACTTGTTTGTTCGTCGTTAGTGACTGTGAAAATAAATCTCCTTAACACCTTTAATATGTGTTTTAGTCACAGACATTATGAAAAGGATTACTAATGTAAAGCCTGTTGAGTTTGCCTTGTGAATAACACATGCTATATCAATACAGTTGGCCTTGGCAGCTACACCAGGACCATTACTGCTCTTAAGTACTCGCCTTCAGCGTCGGCCAATTAGTTTGCCCATTTTAAATACTACAATTACAACCAATGCTATTTGGAATAGCACAAATCTTCTGTGAGAAAATGAGGAGATTCTTAAAATGTAACATGTCAAACCATAGCTGGTTGTGCACCAGAAGTGCTATAAAGACATGTTTTTTAAATGGCTTCCTGTACAAATACAACCGTTTATACTCCAATATGTTCTGGAAAAAAAAGGTATGATTGCATCGTATGGTTTAACCCCTGAGAAGCTGTTACTGCACTAGTGCTGATGGTGTTGATACCAGTACCAGAAAGAGTCTATTTGTCTGTAAATCCTTTGCTTACAGCCCCTCCCGAGAGCTCACTGCATGTTGGTAAATAATTAACTCTCACTTCTGCAGTTGTCATCTCCCCGTGCGATCGAGAACATGACGGATGAGGAAGCAGGAGCACAAAAGGCTCTCGAGTGGCGGTACGGGGGATGAGATCAATATGGCCTCAAACACGCATTGGTTCTGATGGTTCTCTTTGTGCTTTGTAGAATATAAAGCGTCACAGCTCACCGCGGAGGGATCGCAAAGAAATGATGTTCATGTGTTTTTATTTCTGGTGTAGTAGAGTGGATATCTGGGTTTAATTGGTGAACTGAATCGTGCTGAGATGAAACTGGTTTCAAAATAATAGCCATTCCCTCACACTTCTCCTCAGTGTGTTCTCTTAATTAAATACGTGAACTGGGGAATTGATGAAACATGAAAAACGAGCACAATCTTCAAATTATTGAGAGCTCCACTTGCTTATTGAAACCCCACATTATTTGTTACACAGCAGACCTGCACAGAATTTAAACCGCGAAATTATGACAAATTCACTGCACATCCTCAGACTATTAGCCCGGACTAAATACAGCTCATCTTGATGAGCTTATCAAGTCAAATCCTGAAGCTTCTCCGATAACTATGACCGCATCCAAAGAGATTGTATGGGGGGTATCAGCGTATTTTACGCTTCATTACTGTCGGAAGTACAATTAAATTAAGCTCTCTATTATGGAAGAGCTCGATGAAATATTATATACACCCATCTGTCCAGCTTTGACACTGCATACGAGACGAGTTTCATCTTCCTCAGGAAATAAAGAGACGTGAAATACAACAACTGGATCCGACTGTTGCAGTCTCTAAAGCAGTCATTTTGCACCATCTACCATTACTCAGCTCTCATTAGAACAACAGGCCAAAAATGGCAGCTGGATAACGGAACGCACACAGCTCCTGTTGATTCGGTTACGGGTCCATTCGTATCACCCCCCCCCCCCAGCAGTGACGGAGGTGAAACTGTTTGAACAATCATTTGAACACCGTGCTCTCTGCGTATTCCTCACAGATGGCTCCCCAGAGGAACAACAGTCAGTGGCAGGTTTTCGGAGGGTGGAGCGACGCAGCTGTCCCTGTTTGACTGGGTAAACAGTTGCGAGGTCTAATTTGTCCAACACCTCCACAAAAGAGAGGTTGTAACTCTATCGGCGGTTGACCTACTGTACTGCCCTTAGCTGGAACTGCAGCGCAGGCCCTTTTGAAAAATGTCCCAGTGAGTGCCCTGTTGAGCGAAAGGCATGCAACTCCCAGAGTGCTTGTCCTTTTTCTTTTTTTTTTTTTTTTCACAGATCCAGTTTCATTCAGCAATCTATCACAGGGGCCACATAAGCTGCAGTGGAAGTGCAGGAAAAAGACTGGAGAGAGGTGATTTTATTCCTGGTCGATTTGCTGTGGAGCACACAGTGAATCAGACCTGGCGTGATGGAGTCTGCACTAAAAACTAAAAGTATGATGTTTGTCTGTCACTGGACCTATCTAGACATTTGGCTGACTGTATGTGACAGACTGGTGTGCATCTAGAGGGTTTGCAAAGAAAAGGTGGCAAACAACAAGTGCAGGAGGGACTATGACAAGAGACTCCTACTGTGACTTTCTTCTATCTTTTAAAAATGCTAAAACATCGTCGTTTGTGTGCAGCCGATTCTAAAAAAAATAAAACCCTACATGGAACCTTCTTTTTTTTTTTTTCTACAGCAAGAATAACTTGCATGCTTTTCATGTCCTGTATGTCAGAATGCAGAACAGGTATTTATAGTTTAAATTACACAGATAAAAAAAAAAGAAGCAGCTTCTCAGCGCAGGCATGGTTGAGACGTTGCCCCAAATTAGGCTTGTGTCGATATGACGATTTCACAGTGTGATTATCTGGGCCAGAACAATTATCTGTGCATGATCGCATCACAATAATTAAGTAAGAGGAAAATCCGTATTAGCAGCTACTGTACTGACAGAAATGATAGTTTTATTCCATTTTAAAACAATTTTTTGAGGGGAAATAGAGATGTGAGCAATGCTTTCGTCACAATAAATGTATGTTAGTGGAGCCAGGCCTTTGTTCGCTGTTGTTCCTGCTAAAATTGAAAATCATAACACACAATGCTATATTTTCAGTATGCGGTAATGATAATTATGGTCTCATCTCCGCTCCCAATACTCCAACTCTCATTAAGGGGCTGAAAGATTCTTCTCCGAAGTTGCTTTAGATTGTCTTGCAGAGAAGCAGAGGAGAGTCTGGGTTTGTCGTAGATCACAAAGGAGGTTTTAACACCTCTGAACCTCCTCTACACGCCCCGCATAGCTGTGGCTCTGTGGATCAAACATGCGCTGACTGGTTGAACAGTGAGCTGCATATACAGGAGCTCTGAGGCTGGGCCGACACCCAGCCATCAACAAACAATAAACCAAACGGTTTGTGTATTTAATGTAGGGCTGCATGATTATGGCCAAAATCATAATCACGATTATTTTGATCAATATTGCGATCACGATTATTTATCACGATTATTCATTAATTTTAGGGACAACATCTTTTTATTGCACTTTCGCGTTTAAATGAACAAGAACACTGCTTCCACTTCCATTGTTGTGCTACATTCTGGCTAATGTACAAATCTTTGCATCAGACTGGTCCTTATCACAGTGCATCTCGTAGAAGGAAAATATAAATAAAATAGTATCAACCCTTTTTACCCAAAATTAAATCAACAGAGCACTGCTTTCACTTCCATGTTGTGCTACATTCCAGCTAATGTACACATCTTTACATCAAAATAAAACTTATACGGTTCTTATTCACCTGAAGCAAAATATCAATAACATTTTTACCCAAAATAAAGGGCCAACTAAAAATAAATATGTGTGTTGCTCACAGTATTCATTGGACACATGTCTTTGGCCAAATGAAATGCGATTGCATCCGTTATTCCAGCGTGTCTTTGGGAGGTGGATGGATACGCTGTTGCGCTGTACAGGGTCGCTGTTATGGGTTTCTGGGTTGACGTTGGACATGGACGGAGATTCAGTGAGGTAACGTTAGCTTTGGCCTTAATGCATTCGTCGTACTGTGGTTTGTGGTGATTTTTCAGGTGGCTGAACAAGTTAGTTGTATTGCTATGCGGCGCAGACACAACTCTAACGCACTCTGCGCATATGATTTGTTCTTGGTTAACATCACTTGGCCTAAATCCAAAAAACTTCCAGACAACGGATGACGATCCTTGTCGAGGGGCTAGCTCCTCGCCTTCTGCTCCTGACATTTGATTTACCTTTCACACGACACCCGTGACCGTCTGCTCTCTGTTCCGTTGTCTGTCTCTACTCTTCCACTAATAGCGGAGTCTGCAGGGTGCGCGCATGACACCTCCCATCTCGTGCGCTTGATTTGATATGTGTCAGAGCACGCATTTTAAACGTCAATATCGCTGACGATCACGATCATTTCATCGTGGCAGCCAAAATCGTGATCGCGATTAAAATTCGATTAATTGTGCAGCCCCAATTTAACGTCACTTTCATAAATTGAGTGTTTGGGTTTGTTGGCTTAAATAAGCACTTTTAAAGACATATTGTTGGGCTCTTCATCTTATTTTCAAAATACATCTTTTCTTTAGACTGAACAATAGATTATTAATTAATTAAAATAGTTAGTTGCGTCCGACCCACATCCAAACAAGCCAGTATGCCAACTCTGTAGACTTATTGAGAAATTCCCAATCAAGATGGTTCTTTCTGTG